TTTCAGAATATATTTTTTATACCATCCCCACCTTTGGTTATATTTAACTTGGAGCGGACTACGGGCCGGGCGCGAGCAAACGTTATTTGACGGTTCTGAATAACATCAGTACCTAATTATCCAGCAAAGTGCATTCAACGTGTATTGAAAATCCTTTCCATTCCCAAGAAAATATTGATAAGACTTACATATTGCATTTTGTTTGATTATTGTTATTTTTTCATATGTACACGCACCCATACACCTCAGTCCATTTGCTGAGTCCATCTCTGTCACTTTGGAATTTGGCGCGGAGACAATTTAGTGTCTTACTTTTCTGTCAACTTTTATATGACCTCATTGTACAGCTTGCTTTATTACGCACAATAAGTTACAGCACGATGAAAACTCTGTTTTTGACGACGCACGTGTTCTCCGAGTGTTGCTTAAGCATTACGCGCACATAATCAGTTATCATCAAGCCGTCAGTTAACTGTCACAGCAATCCTTTTGAGCTCCACCGGTGCATTACCAACCGGAACACCACTTCCGAAGAACAAGATTTATCAACCAACCGGACAATCTTTTTATGAGTCCGTTCCATGTACCTCTCATTTTATTATTATTCGTATATGTAGTATCTTTTCCACAACAATACCCCATGACTAACGTGATTGCTTTCGTTGTGCATCACATTCGGTTCTCTTTTGTTTGAGTGCTTTTGACCGCCTAATAGGGATTTACATCTCGCTTTATGTTCTGAGCCAGATATTGGATGTGGGAGAATCTCTGCGCTATGGAATGACACTTTATAAGTTTTCCATCTAGCAACCTATGTCGCGAGTTTCTATGGATGATGATTTCGATTGTCTAACATAGAGAGTTGCTGGATTTAACTTTTGTTTTAAATGACGAATTCATAGATAGCTTTTTAATCCAAGAATATGAATGGTACTGGACAGAGTAACCTCATCAACCTTCGTGTGAAAACCTGATACAAATGCATTGATGTTGTGACACTGAAAGTATGGAGTACCATGTTTTTGAATTTTGTTTAGAATAGCAGATACAGAATTCAAAATATCGCGGATTTAGGTTTGCAATCGTCAAAGCATTTCCGCCGCTATGTTGTCAAGGAATGTACCATGTCTGCCTTCCCAATGACACTTATTTATGACACATATTCCTCTCCAAACGATGTTAGTGAGCATAAAAAGATTATTATAAGAATGAAAGTCTTGATACCCTTATTCGCTATTTTAAAGCCTTTATCATTCCCATTGCTTCAATTCAATATTTATTTGAGTTTTCATCATTAGCGCCACTCCGATCTGGAAAGGAAGTTAATTTGTCAAATGCCTTCTACTCCGTGTACCCACCTCAAGGTTGTCTCGTTGATCATGCATACATAGATCTTACTTAAGTATAAGGTCTCACCAGTTGATTAAATATCTGTATTTGTTTTTGTATACGATGACAGTATGTATATATATATAAAGAGTGAAAAACAGCGCCGATAATTTGTTTCGTTCTGGTTGGTAAGCGTCAGCAACGCGTACGTTTTGAGTGAACCTCAGGATTCAAATCACGAACCCAGGAAGATCAACAGTACCTGCAGGTACTGTCTTCAGGCCCCATGATGCCTGTGAACAATCTAATGGTTTTGCCCGAACATGATTTTTGAAAAGGTCCGAATTTGTACCCCAAAACACCAATTGTGATGTTCCCGTATTTCAATGAATTCTTTATCCTGTCACAGTTCCACAGTTTCACATGTACCGTTGTTCGATCCAGGAATGCGTTGTAACCCACGGATGATGGTGCTGAAGTGCGTTGACTACGGCCAATCGTGACGAACATAAAGAAATATAGTAACGCACACATACACACCAGAAACCAAGTTACGCACAGTTAAACCAGGAAACTTGTTGTTGCGACACATGTGTATTGAAGTACTGTGGCACAGGGATGTACTGGTACGCGCTGACGTAAATCTGCACGTAAAGCACGGAGGCAACAAAGACCAAGGAGCGAAATTGCGTGCAGACGGAATGAAAGCAAAAAGGTAAATTTCTCATGCGGAAGGACGCAGTATAAACCGACTGTGTACAACAAATTTCATAATGCTTTGGTAATGGGATAACACTGCGCACATATGAGTAGATTGTGGGTGAAAATGATACCCGACAAATGTCACAAAGTGTCCGGATTTCTCCGTACAATAGACCACACTACACTGACGACTGAACAAGCAAAGGCCAAATCAGCGAGCGTGCGAAAGGAGAATGATCCGAACGATGTAACAGACCAAAGATAACCAGTACAATCGAAGCGTCCCACGGAAGTACGATATTGAGACGTGAGAAGAAAAAAGAACAGAGTCCTTTTGTCGAGTTTGCATATTTAATAGACCAACAGGCAGATTTTATGGGCAGCTCGTCTGTTCATAGTTTGATGGTCGACCATCAGTGACTTCGCAAACTAGTCATAAAGTCCTAAATTGTGGGATAATGCTCCAATGAGTGTGAGATGAGGTTTTTTGAGAGGCAAAATATGAGAAGTTTGAAATTCACAAAATAAAGTAAAATAGAGGAAAAGGAAAATAATCAATTATAAAGTGAAAACTGAGGTTTTCCTTAGCAGAATGCAAAGTTCTGTGACTGTGATATCGGCATTCTACCTTATGTATGAAGGCAGTTACAGTGGTTACAGTAATACAAGAACCAAATTCTATGGTCTATGCGTATTCCCCGCAGAAATTCAAACATATATTCTTCAGCGTATACATATCAGTATATCCATTTCAAAAGCTGCGCCATTGGAACGGAAATGAAACTCGATTCAGTGCCTAGCTACCAGAGGGTGGAAAATACGTACCGATGATACCACTGAGAATGAACTAGGGGTTATCGTAAATGGATACCCGGAACGATTCATAGACAACATTTTTAAGCGTCACCTGCCCCCTAATAAGATCAGTGCCTTTGAGAAGAAACTTACTTGGGCTTTTAGAAACACATCATTCATAGTCAGCGAATTGTGTAAGGATTCTTTTTTCCGCCAAACGAATCCGACGAAGTTCATCATCAAGGTACCCCACAGTGAACTCATCTGCATCTCAGGGTCTATTATGAGACAGCTTGATAATAAGTAATCAATGCAATGATTCTGTGGTAGTTGTTTCCCCTAGGTAATGTGTGAACTGCGCATACGTTTCAACCTCAAGATCGCGGACTCAAACACTGGCTGAAACACTGTTTTTACGTTGTTGTTGTTGTTGAGACGGAATGACCCACAGATTTTCAGTTTACGTTTTCATCTCATACCTTCGGTACCAGGATTTGGGCCTTTGTAATCTATCTGGTTTTCTCTCTTTCTTGGTTTGTAATTATGATAGAACCTCCCTGATGTTGCACCTAAAAAAATATCTAGCTAAGCTGTGCTTGTGGTTATCTTGCAAAACTTGCCACTTGAGGTGACGTGAACTTCCCCAATGAATCGATCACGATGATTGAAATATGAGTTATTGTTTGCAAGTTTTCCTTTGTTCCGGCCACCAACAGAAGTGTTGGGTTAGAACAAGGTGATTTCAGACGGAATATAGGGATGAGTGTGCACACAAACTGGAAAATGTGTGTGTGCGTGTGTGTGTGTGTGTGTGTGACGCAAGAGCATAGATACGCAGGGTCGGTGATTCCTTTGAAGGCCCTGAAAAGCCCTCATTCTGACTGGATGGCTTGATGCACACAAAAAGGTCGGCTTTATTTGAGCTCTGCAATTGTATTTTGTAATACATTCTTCCAATGCGGATCGTACAAGCAGAAACGTTTGGCAACAAAATACGCTTTCCGTAATGAAATTGAGAGCAGTGTGTACCACCAAATCTTCGATCGTAATTATGAAGTCAGTTGAAAAAAGATCAATCGCAGTTATATTGAATAAAATGCGATCAAATAGATGGTGAGACACTCTTCAACTGCAGACAAACACATCTGCAATACAGCTTTAGCTTTAGTGGGGACATATTCTAGTTATGGCTAAATTACCTGCGATATGAAAATGCATCTGCAGCGGAACTTTATCAAGTTATTTTCAAAAACTCAATAAGTGGTTGCGTTGTTTGGAAGGCCATCACAACCGTTGTGGCACAGCGAGGACTGAGCGAGTAGCAGCAGTTACGGACAAGGTGAGTAAACAAGATGAGATTTCGCTCATTAGGGAAGATAGTGATCATGCTGCATCGCACATAAAACAAATCGGTCAAATAGAAAAATACCCGAAAAATCCTAAACTTAATGTGGAACTTTGTGCAAAGCACCACCTCACTTAATACTTTTAATGGAATGGAACAGGATGTGGACAGTGTTGACGTGTGTCTATCTGACATGTTCTGGCTGCGATTGTAAACATGGAAATCTGCAGAAAACTGTCTCCTAAGAATTTCACAAAATCTCGAGTTTTCATCCCAAGGAAATCACACACCTCGTTCTTGTCGTCTGTGGAGCTTTAGAACGTGTGTTATCATTCAAAACAATGTATCTGCCTCATGGCACTTTGCAATTATATCTAGGCCCATCCATCGGATGCACCGTTTGTTTCAGTACAATTCTGGAAAAGTTTTTAGTCTTCAATGAATAAAAGAAATATTTATTTATTATATGCCAATCCACAAAATAATTCTGTCCACTGTGAAAATGGTGTATTCGAATACGTCCGTTTGCCAATCCCGTAAATCAAAGAGTATCCACTTAAGAGGATATATTTTTCAGGTTTCAAACCGCTTTTTTCTCAATCAGTGCTGGAAATTGTAAAAATATAGTTCCGACCGGCACTGATCAAAATTTTAACAAAAACCGAAACAAATCAGTTGTAGAGGAGTTGATTAAAAAGAATATAATAATTGTCTACAATAAACAACGTGTTCTGTTCACCGTGTAACCTCCTGGTTCATCATCACAATAACTAACTTAACTTCACACCATTTACAAGTACTTGTCCCAGCTTATTTGCAACTCAACATATTACACATACGATCGCGGCTCAAACCACTCCGCTTGATTGTGTACTCGAGGCAATGACTTGGACCAATTGTCCGCGTTCTGACGTGGATCATACAGTAGATCATTGACAGAAGCAGCTCTCTGTTGGTATGTGGCATGCGCCATCATTCGTCCAGACCCAATTTCCAATCCGCGTCCGTAGGGAACGAACCGTGTTTGATTTGAGGCCATTTTTCTATCCGAAGGATGATACAGCGGTTCGGAAGAAGTCAAAGTTCGTTTAATTTGAGCATATTGCTTTGTGTGGCCACGGTCGACAGACGGTTGTGATATCACCCAACCTTGACCCCATTTCCACAGTGGCCTGGGTCCGTCAGTCAATCTGGTGTTCACGGGACTCATCTGTGATCGTTCTGACTCCGGATGCGTATGAGGGGTTCGTTGCATGGGTTGCCTTGAGGACAAGGGAGAACAACAAGACATTTCGTTCACGTAATTCGCCCAACTTCCGGGATCCGAATCGTGAACAGCGCTTTCTGATTGACTACGTATTTGCTGTGCTGCGTGACCTCGATTCGGAAGTTTTGAGACCGGAAACCAACAACCAAATATGTCACAAAACTGTGTTCGAAATTGTGGACTGAACACCAGGCAGACCGGGAGGATGCAGGCTCCCGGAAAGTCGGCTAGTTCGCTACAAACAACACGGGCGGTGAACATCATAAAATACCGTTGCCATGTTCCATCCAACTCGATCTAGAAATGCAAAACGAGAAGAATAGTGAACTTTAGAACAAATCAACGACTGAACAGCCAGGGATTCATCAGCTAAAAGGAGCAACTGCAAAAAGACTCGTTTTTTACCCATGAAAAGATGAATCATCAACTTGAGGTGTTAAAGTGGCAACAAATTGAGTTGTCCGACAGCAGACGCAGTCATTGACAGTGATGGTCAAGTGGAACATCAGTCCAGATTGCATGCGTTCGAATCCCACCGTAATCTTTGTATTGATCGCTTTGCCCGATTGGAAAATTGATTATGAAATTGTTTATTCAATGAGTCAATGTCTAGTGATATTCGTTTGATAGAAAATAAATGCAATCAGAGAATTATTGCATTCCGGACTAAAATTGAATCCAACAATAAACTCAAGCGTATATAACAGGGATGAAAAACTGAGTCCAATTCCCAGGGGGATCGATCACAATCAGGGGCACTGGTGTCTCATCCACAAGGTCATCACAACTCCGCATTATATCATTAAAAATTGTGAATGCGATGTGCGATTCTTCCTGGTAATCACCAAACATTGAAATGACCAATCGCTAGTTAATCGACCAGCCTAAATTCAACAGTGCCACTCTAGGCTGAAGAAACGCTGCGTAATCCAGATCGGGTTATGAATAGATCACGCAGTTTTGTACTAAGCCGGTCAGTTGACTAAGCTATTGATAGAAGCTATCTCAGCATAGCTCTGCGGTTGATAATTCACCTGGATAGATAGAAGAAACCCACTCCCTTGGCACACGGTCGATACTTTTGATCCTAATGTGATTCTAGGTTCTTGCATGGTACTCAAATTATACAAACGGAATTCAGAATATGAAGAACAGTACCAGTTGGAAATTCACATTCCCATGCAATAAATAAATAAATAATGCAGGTGATATAAAATCCCAGATGTTTTAATCATTTGATGACCGAGATTTTCTGTTTGATAAGTGAATCCATTCTACTGCTAACAGGACATCATTTCAAACACCTTCAATTTACGTGTTTACTCATTTGGTGAATGTTTTATGTTGTGACATATTTCGATATTGCCACCTTTAGGCAATTATGACGTTGGGTAATGGATGCTCATTAGGTGTTGAAGTGGTGCTGCGGTTGCTGGGACGGTTGTTTCATGTGATATGATACAACACTTTGCAATTCGTAGTCCAGGAAAATATACACGAGTCAAATGGAGCGGCAGTTTGAATAATCGAAAACGGGTCACCCATTTCCCTTATTGGTTTGTACTCAGAATACTTGGTTGTCTTTAATTTATAATGTTTCCATTGTATGACCTATGTTACCATTCTTTAACCATATTCTCTTATTTGAACAGCTTAATTGTGTGACAAGATGAATTGAATCCCAGTTGGAAATAGCCAAATGAGAATGTTGCAAGTTAGCCACAGTTTTACTCAAATATCTGGAGACAGAAATATGTCAAAAGGCTGATTTTCTTTGCTATTGTGGTGAAAATGTAGCGTAGTACAACCAAATTAATTAATTGGTATTCATCATCGAATGGCAAATCAATGCTTGGAAAACTGCTTCTATGAAAAACGCCTAAGTGTCAACAATAAATACGTTATCTTGTTGTGCAACTATATGGCTTTGCCCTGCATACTCTTCCAAAGACATTTGGTGTTATGAAGATAATCCTTACTGGGAATACTGTTATTATGGTCATTCTGATGTGTGAAGACTGTAATCTTTCCATTTGTGAAGGTAATTTTAGTTTAAGAGCTCAGGTATTCTGAAGCTGTTTTGATTAATAAAAAGGGTTATCTTGTTTATGCCCTTCGGTCAGAATTATTTGCGTATCACATTTGGATACAATCCTCTAGATAAAAACCTCAGTTTATTCAATCAACCATAATTTGAGAAAGCGCCAAGCTCAAACTCCACACTGGCATTACAGTTCTTAATTGTTTTTTTTTCTGTCAGCCTCCTGATGGTTATCTCGTCGCATGCAGTGGAGCTCGGTGACATCATACCCGTTTCAATTTCTTTCAGAGGTCACTTGGAAAAAGTTACACTGCCGAAGAATGACTAAATACGGTCCAGCATCAGTCCAACTTGATGGAATTGATTGTGATCTACGATTCTGAACAGGATATAACGAGACCTAAAGAGATGACAAACGGCATATGATTTATCTGAAAAGTGAAAGTCCTACGTCAACCACAGGATCTACTGTTTTTAAATGATTTGTCATAGGTGTACCGAAACTATGCGCCAGTTTGTCAGGTCAGCATGGTATGAATAGTCAACTGAGGACGTCCGTTCCGGACTAGATGTAGACTGTTTAAACAATGGATTATTTTGCAATGTTGAGTTCATCATCCAGCTTTTCTCGTTCAACTATTACTATTTCTGAGAACACCTGCGACTGATTGTGTGAGGATTACTCCAACTTTGCTCTTGGTTCTTTGCGGGTTTGCTATCGATTACCGAAAGAGAAAAAACCGGTAATGTTGATGGTGTGTGCCAGGTAGGAAAGCTTTGGCGGACTGATTTGATCAACATTATTTGCGGTTCACGATGACTATATATATATATATATATACATATATATATATATACATATATACATATATACATATATACATATATATATTTGCCCCAAGGACCACATTTGCAGCACCGGGTGAATTTGTTTGGACAGTTCTTCTAGAGACTTTCAGATACGCATGCCTGACAAGCAGCAGGAACCGCGAAACGAGTCTTGTGCTTCCAGGGAAATTTTCTCGTCATTCATATACTATTTATTGGGAAATACATATACATATGGCAGACGAATTATTCCGCATGTATTCTTATCACCATACCACTAAAGAGGATTATTGGTTAAGCGCAGAAACGTTATTTTATCTCCCCTCACGTCTCCCGGAGAATCCATGGCTGCAACGCGATCGTAAGATTCTGGGACGTACACAAAGAATGGGCACTAAAATGGTCAAGGGACTGCGTTCCAAGATTTATGTGGAAAGGTTGGTATCGTCGAATTGGGGGGGGAATTGATTTTGGTATATCGAATAATGCAGAACCTTGATCACCCATTCCGATTACTGTTCGTCTTTTAGCCCAAAACTTACCACAGGGGCACTCACTCAAATCAGTGCTTGAAAAATATCGACTAGAATGCCGGTATCATTTATCTGCCCTCGGAGTTTGCAGTGTTTGGAATTCTCTAACACCTCACATTATTTCTGCACCTATGATTCATTCTTTCAAGCATAAAATGGATGAAACATTGAAAAATCTCAGATTTCGACATCCGTAGCAAAGCACCAAACAAGGATAAATTGATTCATTTGTACTAAACCCTATGGGACACGAAGGGCAACCGCTTGTAAGCATTTCTCACAACAAAAGTGACTTCAACTTTGACCTCTACTTGGTATAAATTGATTCGGAAATAGTTTATTTACAAGCACATACCAGAATATACATGTGGAAGAAAATCACCATGAAGCAGCACGTACTAAAGAAAGAGAATGTGGTGAAATACCACAAAGGGATACTACTATACAGTCCGAGCCCTGTGCAATTCATATACGGTTTCTTGCTTTCTTATGGATGCGTAAAACAATGTGTACAATCCTTACGTATGCTGTTTTGAACTAGCTGTCCGCGGTTCACAGATATGCAAAAATGTTTTGGGCTTACTGCTTATACGGGTCTAAGCTTTCTTATCAGGACCTCGTACGATACTCGGCGCATTGGGAGATGAATAAAGGATGTTTTTGTCGAAAACTAATGGTGATTTAAATTCATTTTTGATTTCTTATTCTATAAAGGAGATCAACGACTCCCTAATTCAGTCATGGTAATGGACAACCAAAGTTGTTGGCAACTTCCATTTTGAACGGAATTGTTCTGAATTCACACAGACTGTTTTGCAGTTGCACTCCAGCTTATCGATATTCGCTCTAATGTATTTAAAAAGAACCCCATGTCTATTGGAACAATTGTTGTATAACAAACCTTTTTGGTATTATGAAGAAGTGTGTTCGCCGTAAGGACAACTTTCTTGTCGTTCTAATGGCAAACCCAGCGCATTCACATCAGCATTTTTTTCCCTGGTTAAAATGTTTGCCTCTTAAGGTCAAAAACGTTCGTGATTTCCGACCGCTGCCGATTGGTGTGATTATTTCAGTGGACAATATATCGTCAACGTTTGCACGCTCATATTTAGTTTCTGCTGTAATGATTAATATGAAGCGTCGTATTCTTAAACAGTTAATAATCCATAGGTGTTCCGGATCATTTCGAAAAACAAATCTGATTTTATCGTCGTATTCTTACCAATTAATTTGAAAGCAAAATGAATTCGGTTAAAAATCTCTATTACACTAGCAGCTAAAACGTCTATTAGTTCACTCTATTAGTTAGCTAAAAGCGTTGATTCCAAACTAACAGGGAAGAGATGCACGCACCACACACACACTTTTCTGGTTGTGACGGTGATCACCGGCTTGATTGGACATCGAAGTGTATTCGGTACCCCGGCCTAAAGGCGCATTATCCGCTAAACTGGACACCGAACAACAATTGATTGGGCTTTCCACACAATGCTCTGCTGTCTTTCGGGTCAGACTGTGGTTACCCTAATGTTCCGGTTGGAAATCCCCAAAGAACCTATTTAGGCTTGGGCAACCGGGCAGTATCACATACACCGGTAATCTATTGATTTTATTCTTTCTGTTAAGGAATATTGTACCGTGATTTGTTTGGTATACGGTTTGAACTCACAAGTGTGTGAAATATAATAATAATAATAATAATAATAATAATAATAATAATAATTTGATCCTAGACGTGTTCCACGTATCACCGAATGGGTAGTGAGCGTGACAGATTATCATCACGAATAGATATCATAGAATCAGGGACAAAGAGCGCGTGACAGAGTTTCCTGAATTGATTTGGGTAGGATAAATGTCGTCATAAGAGCTGAGGTTTAAGTAAGTGTTGCCAT